CTCTAACTTGTTTTCGTCTTGTTTATATAAATCTGTTATAATTTCTAATCGATGACCTAAATTTTCAAGTGTTTGTTTTTTTTTAAATGAAGAAAAGAAAAAGAATCGTAAAAAACAATAATTGTCTATGCAAAATAAATATGAAAATGAATATCTTCTTCGTTTTCATATTTGTTTATTCGATTATTTAAATAAATATATTTATTATTTAATTATTTCAAATAAGATTAATAAAGAATTTATTTAGTTTTTTTTGTTTTATTAAAAGATAAATTATTTTTCTTTATAATAATCAATCAATCAATCAAGGATTTATTAATGCGGTGCGAAGCACAGAATTTATGCACTCCTTCGCGAGTTTTCTTTCTTTATTTATTTATTTATATCTAGCGAGACATACGGAAATTTTTTTCACATTTTGTGTCATAGTGATCTTGAGAACCAAAAGTCAGAAAATGTTCGTTCGAGCACGAGATGAAAGTGTCGAAATTGAAACTAAACCTTCTTTCTTTCAATTTTCGTTATGAGGTCTCATTTGCATATAAATGACGTTGAAAAAAGACAAATTTTTCCGAACTTTAATTTTATTCAAGGTTCGAGATAATTAAAACAAAAGTTAGGTGTCACTTTCTTTGTACAAATATGAAACAGCTGTAAGTACAGCTGATGATAGATAATGAATCATATCGATAATGTTCTTGAGAATAATGTTGACAGACTTTGATAGAGTTCTCGCAGTGATGAACTCTGCAATGGCTACTTTTCAGCTTGTGTCAAATTTCGATGAGGTGATTGATGAAAATGCAACCTTTTCCAGTTATAACGATTGATAGAAATCCATGCTTTATGTGAAACAGAAATATATTCAAGAGAAACATCACTGGAGTTTCACTCTACAATTGATTTCTCTTTTTTTTTTTCAGAAACTCGATTATTTTCCATAATCGATATTCGTGCTTCAGACCTTATTTCTCATTGTTGACTTTGTCGAGATGGCATCTAGTTTGCTTTCTTACTTTCTCGACATACGCATCAAAAGTTGTTCTGTTGTGTCGCAATGATCTCGTGAACCGAAAATCACAAAAACATTCATTGAAACGCAAAATCCAAGTATCGAGTTTGAATCGACACCTTTTGGAGTGAAATTGTCGGGGACACATTTCGTTTCATTATGAATAAATTTCAAAAATGACAAATTTGAGAGGACATTATTTTCTTTTCATTTTGAGATAATTAAAATCGAAAACATAAGCATAAGTTAGGCGTCAGTTTCTTTCAGTGTTGCCAGATGCGAAATCGAAAAATCCGGAAAATTTCGGAAAGATTTTCGAGGATCAGTTTTGATTGCTTAAAGTAGATTTTTCTTAATCAAATTATCAATAATATTATTCTTTATTTTTACAAAATATATTTGAATGAAACAATAGAAAATACACATCACAACATAGTTAATTCAATAAATTAGAAATTATCAATAACACATTTCGCTGTTAATTTACACGTTATTTTTTAGGACAATATTTTTCATTAGAATGAATAAATTTCAATAATTCTAGTTTTTATAAGAAAAAATTATAAATCTCTGAACAAAATAAACTGAAAAAATCATAAATCTGTGAAAATCCGAAATTTTTCTGAAAAATCCGGAAGATCTGGCAACACTGATTTCTTTTCTCATATATCAAACAGCTGTAAATACAGCTGATAATAAATAATGAATCATAGAGATAATTAAACTATCAATCGAACACGTTTTTTAGTAGTATGTCGATATGAGTCTACATATATGTACAACTTGAAGGTTGAATTCAATTGAAATTTTAACTTTCAATATTCCAATTTGTCTATACATGCCAAACTTGAAAGTTAAATTCGTCTATTCAATTATTAAATGGTTGAAGTCGAAATATTCAACAATTAAACAATTCAATCATTGATTACGGCAAAAATGGTTATGGTCAAGTCCTGATCTAGGTACCAAGAAAGGTTGCACACGCAAAAATACACACACACACGGTTTAAAATTGAAAATTGAAAATTGAAAATTGAAAATTGAAAGTTGAAATTTCAATTGAATTCAAGTTTCAATTTTGACACTACTAGTTTTTCCGAAATATCGAAATTAGTGGTTCGGACCGCATTTCGTATTCGAGATTTTCTCTAATACCATCTAGTTCATTTTTGAATTAATTTCTCTATTATAAGAGAAATTTTTTTAAAATTTCTATTCAAGAGAAACTAATATCTTCTCACAAAACTAAATAAATATATGTTTTGAATTACTTATCAATGTTTAAGTTCAATTTTCTGGATTGTTTTTTTTCTTGTTTTAAATTAGATAAACTTGCAGGTCGATAAGTTTTGACTGCGAAACTTTCTGATACATTAATGAATAGAAAAACAAATTTGTTCAAATTATATATTAACATTTTTATTATATAAAGTAACGACAGATAATTTCATAGACAGAGTACCTATTATGCTAAGAAAATTCTTATGTGTTATTTTTCTAAGCTTTTCGAGCATCTTACTTATTTTTAATATCATCATGAGAAATATTTTTTTATTCAAATATCGTGACAACCGACGTGTTACATTTTTTATATAAGTAATCGTACAATCTATTAAAAATAAGAAATCACTAATAAATTATCTTTGTATAGAATAAATAACTTATTTAAATAATCGTTAGGACTCTAATCATACTTGTTTTATTGCCCTACAATTAAATCTTGACTATTGTCTGATACATTTCAATAAATGAGCATATCAACTGGATCGAAATTTTTTATGTCGTGTACTCATAATAAGATATACACCATTCGAAAGAGCGCGAAAAACTGAGTCTAATGATGTAGTTTTCATGAAGACGTACTCCCAAGTCCCCAGCAAAAATTTTTAAAAAACGTTTCTCAATAAGCTCTATCATAGTGCTTCGTCCTCTCGTCATTTTTTTTTCTTCCTGCGCTTATATGTTCACGTATTACATACAACACATTTTGAACGAGTGAATTTACGCAGAAAGAAAACGAAAATTTTAGTTCATAATTGCTCGAGAAGTTTCTTTTAGAAGTCGAATGTACAAAAAATGTGCTACTTGCGTTTGCCGAGCTCTATTACTATCATCGAAGTAATGACATATTTTTTCGGATAGTTTGAATTGAAGGCGGCTTGCTTTGTGAACATAGTCACCTTTGATAAAACATGTATCTGACTTGAGTAATTCAACTAAAAAAGATGAAATTATTCACTTTTTACTGATTCCAATATTTTCCAATGCTGAAACAGCAGCAGAATTTGTGAGTGATATTTTACCAACACGCGTTTGACCTTTTGCTCGGTCACATGTTGTTCGAAAAATAAACTGTTGAAGATGAGGAGCTATGCTCCGAAGCCATTTGGTTTTTGATCGATCTCTTGCTTTTGGTAAAATACATGTGTCACTCGAATGTTGTCCTAAGTGAAGTCTTTAAAAATATTCATCGCCTGGTTTGGGTCGATTAATTCGAAAATCATATGTTTTCATCATCTTTTATTCTACCTAACAAATAATGAAATAAATCTTAAATATTTTTACTGATCTGTGTGCTAAGTTTCAGATATTCTTATTTTCTTGAATTGAAACTGTAATTTCTTTAAATTGACGGACAGATTGCCGTCCGACGTCCAAATAGCAGACGTTCCCTATGTATGTTTTAGTTTTAGCCGGAAAGCAACAATTTGTTATATGTTGCCTTCTGCCATAGATAGCTTCAAGGAAAGAAAAAAATAAGATTGCTTATGATATATATATGTGATATATGCATTTCTTTCCTTCCTATCATATGGCTATTGACACAGGTTTGTTCATCAGCTTGATCTGTTTAATTCTTTTTTTCATCATTATGTCAATTGCTTTTAGGTAAATCTATTTGCTCTTTTATATAAATCTATTCGTTCCGACGACAAATTACGCTTGTTTCCTTAATAATTGTTTTTAATGAAAATAAGAGATGAGTAGAAAATCGTTAAGAATTCAAGTAGAAGTTTCTGGATGGAACTTAATGGATTCGAATAGTTTGTTAAGTGAGATGAAAGAAAAGGTTTTTAGCCAGCTAAAAGAACAAAATCGTACTGTTAGTGACGCTATTGTTATTAAATCATGTAAAAATGCAATATCCCTAGCCCGATCAAATAAAAAAACCACAGCCAAATTCTTGATCGTATATATACCGGAAAATTCTATCGACAGAAATAACATTTGCAGTTCGAATTTAGTGTCTTCTATTAATGTAGCGGATGAACAAAATAGTAAAGATGTAGGTGTTTTCAGTAAGAATGATGATACACAAGTATGTTCACTGTTGAAATTTAATTTTGATAGTGAAAAAGGATTAGTAATTGAAACTGATTTTGTCTATTTAAAAAACATTTTTTCATATCTTTTATCTCATTCCTCAATATCTACTGATTTGACTAATTTTTTAAACGAGATTTGTGCGTATTGTTTTGATACAGCTGCTAAATTCTATATCAATGTGTTAGAATCTCGTCATGAACTACATTGTCGATTAAGTAATTTCGTTCACAATGCCAAAAGAAAAGCTAAAGCTAGAAATACAACAGCTATTAAGATTTTGGCCGAGTCCAATAATTTCGTTTTTTATTTAAAAAGTGTAGAATCAGTTAATCGAACTGATGAATTTTTATCAATCAAGTTTAATTCTTTTGCAAGCAACAGTTCAGGCGATCGCGTTTTATTAGTTCGAGATAAAGATCAGATATGTGTAGTACCTGGAAATAGAAGTTTGTATATGTATATCAGTGAATCATTTGCTTTTCGGGCTCTTGAACAGTTTGAACTTACAGATATTGTCGATATCGACGAGCTATTTTTTATTGCCACAAGTTATTGTCAACAACGGCAATTAGTACTGGATATTGAGAAGAATATGGATAATTTAAAAACATGTATTTTGAATAGGAAAATCGACAAAAATCAATCAAAATTTTTTTCTTGTATGATTGAATTAGCCGATCGAAACTTGCTTCATGAAAACTATGATAATATTGATTTAGACGCGCTTTTAGGACCTGTTTATTCAACAAGAGGAATAAAACGAAATAGTCAGGAAGTAACATTAGATACCGATGATAGCGATTTCGAAGCCAATAATAATGAACAAGACGAACTCTGGCAATTAAAGCCAAGTTCCTCTACTAGAAAAAAACAAAAGAAAAATAATGTTGATTTTCAAAAAGAAGAACTGTTAAGAAAGTTTCTTCATATTAAGGATGAATATCACATTACAGATTCAGCTATTAAAGCTATGCATAAGTTTTTTAAAGAAACAAAAGAATCATTTTATTCAATGGCAGAAATTGAGCGAGTGCGAAAAAAGTCGAATCAGAATATTCCGATAAAATATAGTAAAGATTCAGCGTATGTTCCGTTTGAATTTGCTCTGAGAGCTGCCATTTTCGTTGCTGTTAAATTTCGGCCTGATCTTTTAAAACTGAATCATCTTTCATTTCGTTTAAATATGGATGGTACTCTTATGGGTAATAAACATGTAGTTGCTCTATCTGTTAATTGCGTTGACGGAGGACCCTCCTGTCAGACAGCTAGAAGGCTTGTGCCTGTTGGTATTTTTGAGATACAAAAGGAATCTAATGAATTATTGCGAAAAACTCTACCGAAAGATTTTCTCGATTCTATTCAGTCAGTGAAACAATTACAGATCAATCAAAAAAAGAGTGTTACAGTGAAAATTCGATTAGGAGGCGATTATCAAAATGCAGTATATGTATTCGGTTTAGCAGGTATTCATAGCAATTATCCCTGTGTTTTTTGTACTCAGAATAAAGCTTATTTACATGTCACAGAGAAAAATACAGTATGTGAAGAAGAAGTGTGGGTAGGATCAGGGAAAAATAGGAAAAAACAAAAACAAAAAAAAATTGTAAATCCTACTTCAGTATACGATCCCACGTTAGGTGCTCGAACACTTGCAGAAAAAAGTGATTGTTTAAAACGACGAGAAACAAATCGATCAAATAATGAATTAGGCTATCAGTCGGAGCCTCTTTTTGGAAATTTATTTGAGTTTAGTGATTATGTACTTGATATTCTTCATATGCGATTACGGATTTTCGATATAATTTTAAAAGATATTTTAAGTGAAACATCACGAACAGGAGAATATGAGCCAGTGCATACGAAAAAACTTGAAGAAAAAAATCGAAGTTCTCAACAAACATGCGTCTAATACTATAGGAAAACGATTTTTCTTTAAAATAGAAACAGAAAACAACGTAAAAACAATTGTTTCGTGTGGCCGCTTTTCGGGTCACCTGCAAGAAGTATTTTTTGTTGACTCATTTCCGTATGAGAAAATTATTCAAGATGAAGATCTGTCGAAAAATGCAAGAGATTTAGTTAACAAGTTTAAACTCATACTTCAGTTAATTAAAACCGAAAAATTGGAAAGAACTAGTGATTTAGCTGAAGTTGCGAAATCGTTTGTTAAAGATTTTCGTCATTCAGGGCTACGAACAGGCTGTACACCTTATATGCACGTGATAGGTACTCATCTGGCAGAACAAGATCAAAACGAAGATCTACGCGCATATGATATGCAAGGAGTAGAAAAATCAAATGATCTACTCTCCCGTCTTTATTTTTCATCTAGTAATCCAGCAAAATATCCACTAAGGACAATGATTCAGAATTTATACAGACGGCTTGAGATGAATTTCGCTAATCCTACAGATCGCACAGCCATGAATACATATTCTTTGAAGGGAACATGGACCAATGGTGATAGTGAGGAAGATGACAATATTATAGATGAGGTTTCTAGTTGTCTTTTGAATTCGAATGAGTCAGACGAATCATCTGTCGATGAGAATGAATGTACAGAAAAAATTGATGATGAATCAGATGACGAAGATGAAGTTCAAGCTCCTTATTATGTAACACAAAATAGTTTTACAGTCAATCGAAAACGAAATCGCTGGAAAAGTTTCAAGGAAAGATAGCTTCATTTAATTCGAAAATAGTAAAATATTTTTGTATATACCCTCCATATGGCCGGTATATGAATCAATTGTTCAAATCCACTAACGCTTTCTTTTTTCCTATCTTTTTTTGCTTTGCTGCGTCTACACAGTATAAATAGACAAAACGGTCTCAATATGACAGAGTGTAACATATTCTGAACTAATCTATGTTTACTTGTAGTGCATTAGTTGGAAAGGAGACAAATGATGATGGGTCGTAAGTCATTTCCGGCTAGGTCNCAATGGACGTAACTCACCCTTCCCCCTACAAACGCTCACTTATGTTAGTCTCACCCTACTTTCATCTCAAAAGAAAAAAAATATACTCATGTGGTTTATTGTTGGAAGACAGGACGTGATGATATGGAGGACTAAAAGGAAAAGAAATTAATCAATGTTATATAATAAAAAGAAGAATAAGATAAGTTACCCCACTGTTATCTGAATTCACTGTTTAACACTTAAAATTAAAAAAAAACCATATCAACTGGCTCGAAATTTTTTATGTCGTGTACTCATAATAAGATATACACCATTCGAAAGAGCGCGAAAAACTGAGTCTAATGATATAGTTTTCATGAAGACGTACTCCCAAGTCCCCAGCAAAAATTTTTAAAAAACGTTTCTCAATAAGCTCTATCATAGTGCTTCGTCCTCTCGCCATTTTTTTTCTTCCTGCATATATATGTTCACGTATACATACAACACATTTTGAACGAGTGAATTTACACAGAAAGAAAACGAAAATTTTAGTTCATAATTGCTCGAGGTGTTTCTTTTAGAAGTCGAATGTACAAAAAATGTGCTACTTGCGTTTGCCGAGCTCTATTACAATCATCGAAGTAATGACATATTTTTTCGGATAGTTTGAATTCAAGGCGGCTTGCTTTGTGAACATAGTCACCTTTGATAAAACATGTATGTAACTTGAGTAATTCAACCAAAAAAGATGAAATTATCCACTTTTTACTGATTCCAATATTTTCCAATGCTGAAACAGCAGCAGAATTTGTGAGTGATATTTTACCAACACGCTTTTGACCTTTTGCTCGGTCACATGTTGTTCGAAAAATAAACTGTTGAAGATGAGGAGCTATGCCCCGAAGCCATTTGGTTTTTGATCGATCTCTTGCTTTTGGTAAAATACATGTGTCATTCGAATGTTGTCCTAAGTGAAGTCTTTTAAAATATTCATCGCCTGGTTTGGGTCGATTAATTCGAAAATCTTATGGTTTCATCATCTTTTATTCTACCTAACAAATAATGCAATAAATCTTAAATATTTTTACTGATCTGTGTTCTAAGTTTCAGATATTCTTATTTTCTTGAATTGAAACTGTAATTTCTTTAAATTGACGGACAGATTGCCGTCCGACGTCCAAGTAGCAGACGCTCCCTATGTATGTTTTAGTTTTAGCCGGAAAGCAACAATCTGTTATATGTTGCCTTCCTCCATAGATAGCTTCAAGGAAAGAAAAAAATAAGATTGCTGATGATATATATGTGATATATGTATTTCTTTCCTTCCTATCATATGGCTATTGACACAGGTTTGTTCATCAGCTTGACCTGTTTAATTCTTTTTTTCATCATTATCTCAATTGCTTTTAGGTAAATCTATTTGCTCTTTTATATAAATCTATTCGTTCCGACGACAAATTACGCTTGTTTCCTTAATAATTGTTTTTAATGAAAATAAGAGATGAGTAGAAAATCCTTCAGAATTCAAGTAGAAGTTTCTGGATGGAACTCAATGGATTCGAATAGTTTGTTAAGTGAGATGAAAGAAAATGTTTTTAGCCAGCTAAAAGAACAAAATCGTACTGTTAGTGAAGCTATTGTTATTCAATCATGTAAAAATGCAATATCCCTAACCCGATCAAATAAAAAAACCACAACCAAATTCTTGATCGTATATATACCGGAAAATTCTATCGACAGAAATAACATTTGTAGTTCGAATTTAGTGTCCTCTATTAATGTAGCGGATGAACAAATTAGTAAAGATGTAAGTGTTTTCAGTAAGAATGATGATACACAAGTATGTTCACTGTTGAAATTTAATTTTGATAATGAAAAAGGATAGTTTCATTTAATTCGAAAATAGTAAAATATTTTTGTATATACCCTCCATATGGTCGGTATATGAATCAATTGTTCAAATCCGCTAACGCTTTCTTTTTTCCTATCTTTTTTTGCTTTGCTGGGTCTACGCAGTATAAATAGACAAAACGGCCTCGATATGACAGAGTGTAACATATTCTGAACTAATCTATGTTTACTTGTAGTGCATTAGTTGGAAAGGAGACAAATGATGATGGGTCGTAAGTCATTTCCGGCTAGGTCAAGTGGTAGTGCGGACAATTCAGACTAGTCATGCTGGACGTCCTCACTTTTCTTTGGTTGCTTGACTAGATAAATACCGATCTATTTGCATACAAAAGATGACCTCTTCTCATATTTATCAGAAAACTATTCGTTCATTTGTTGCGAAATACATACAGAAAATTTTGATACAAAAAAACTTTAACCACCGGAGTATTCCAATTTTTTACAAGAAGATATCCTATATATTTTTCATACATACTGCTCAAACTCTTTAGTTGCTTTTTATAAAATGAGTCTTTAATAGGAATTAGATCAGTAGTTTTCTATTTGATTCATTTATATGAATAGTCAAATTTGTTTTAAAAGTTTATATGAATCTTGTAAATGCTCGTTGCATACTCACTTATCGAAGAATATACCTATCGTTGACGCACATTGTCATTTGGATGACTTCAACAATCATTCATTCATTGAGTCATTATCAAATTCCAATGTTCGTGAAGTTTATGCAGTATTCAATAAACATAAATACAAAAATTGGAGTAAGCGTCCTCATATTTCATGTCAAAATTTGTATGTATATGAAACTTTTGGTATTCATCCGAAGTTTCTTCCAGAACAGGATTTAAACGAAACGCTAATCCAACTAGAAAAAATACTTAGTTGTAGAGAGAATCCTGTATCTGGTAGACCAATCGTTGGTATTGGTGAAATTGGTTTAGACGAGACTAGCAGATTTCAAATGATCGACCAAAAATTAGCTTTGGAACGTCAAGTAATTATAGCATGTCAAACAGGTTTACCGCTAATCTTACATTGTCGTGGTTTTTCTCTTTATCGTTCTTTATTCGATTCTATTTCATCTCTTTTGCCTAAAACTCATCCAATTCAATGGCATTGCATTAAATCTGACAGTGATTTGACAGTTATTGATAATTTTATTTCATCATTTCCAAATTCAGTAATCTCTCTCAATGGAGCAACAACATTAGTAAAGGACATCGATCAGGATAAAACGTTTAAAAAATGGATAAGAAACCATCCCCATATACTTAATCATTTAGTTCTTGAGACTGATTGTCCATGGCTTTGTCCTCAAGGTCTTTCTATCCAGGACTACAATCCTTACACCGGGATTTTCGTTACATCTAAGTGGGTTGAGAATGTAATGCGCGCTACGGGAAAAAATGCATCAACAATCATTCACATAGCAAACGATAATGCTATTAAGTTCTTTCGATTCTCGACAAATAAATATAAAAATATCTGATGCAAGTTCATATCGAATAGAGAAACTCTACGAAAGACAAATGTAGCTACATTCATGTACATATAGAAAGTCAGTGAACAACGTATATCTATTAATGACAGATCCTCTTTTTGGCCGACTGTCAAAAAAATAATAAAATAGTAGAAATCTAAAAATAACTAGAAAAATAAAAAAACTGAAAAGATAAGACAAATATTAAAAAACCAAAGTGATCCACAAAATTAGAAATACCTTTTATTTTCTGTTAGTTAACCTCTTTGTATTTATTGTTAATTTAAACCTATTTTGTTGTGAATTCATTTGCTTATTTTGTACTGTTAATACTTTTCTTTTTTTTCGTTGTTACGTGAACATATAAGCGCAGGAAGAAAAAAAAATGACGAGAGGACGAAGCANATATGACAGAGTGTAACATATTCTGAACTAATCTATGTTTACTTGTAGTGCATTAGTTGGAAAGGAGACAAATGATGATGGGTCGTAAGTCATTTCCGGCTAGGTCAAGTGGTAGTGCGGACAATACAGACTAGTCATGCTGGACGTCCTCACTTTTCTTTGGTTGCTTGACTAGATAAATACCGATCTATTTGCATACAAAAGATGACCTCT